GAATGTTTGTATTTTGGTCCCATTCATGCGGTCGTGTAACGGCACATGATATTCATTTTGTTTCTTCAAGTGCCTCCGCTCGTGTCTTTGATTGATGATCTCTCTCTTTGTCTCTCTGTCTGTCTGTCTGTCTCTCTCTCTCTCTCTCTCTCTCTCTCTCTCTCTCTCTCTCTCTCTCTCTCTCTCTCTCCATTTATCCATCCATCCATCCATCCATCCATCTATCTATCTATCTATCTACCTCCCCACACACACACACACACACGCACGCACGCACGCACGGACGCATGTATGTGTGTCCGCGGGGGTGTGTTTGTGTGCGTCCGCGGGTGTGCGTGTGTCCGTGTCTGGGGGTGAACGTGCATGTGCGTGCATGTGTGTGTGTGTGTGTGTAGAAAGCGATTATCATGAAAGACATGTGGTTGAGCGCGTGAAAGGATTGCATTCAAATTGTTAAAACAATTGAACTACTTATTAAAAATCAGTTAATTTCGATGTACTGATATGTTCACTATATCCCTATTTTCTTTTTCATGTCGTCGTCGTGATTTATCATTTCGAATATTTATATCAGTACTGCTTCTGTACTCATCACGCTACGATATTTTCCTGTTCGAACTATCGGTGACAACAATCGTATTATCATCTTTTCACGCCAATATTTTTGGAATTGCTGACTGGAATGTCACATTACATGTGTCTCGTTCCTGCTCATTTGAAACACACAGGCGCGCATGCATCGAGACCAGAACATAAAAGGACTGCCATTGAAACACACATGCCACGTCGACTTCAGACAACGACGAGGAATTTATGGAATGACTACAAAGTGTCGAATAGTAGTTCAAAGTGTGATTCATGTCATCCCAACTTCCCATATCCTCAACTGTCTTCTTAACTCCCCTTGCTTGACGCAACAAAAACACCGATCAACACACCCACCGGTATCATGTCAAGCCCAAAACAACTTGCCAAAATCACAAAAAGTCGTATTCCGCAACCCGGATCTGTAACTACATGCCTCCATGCGGAACAAAAACAGCAATCAACACGGCCCCCTCTGCAACCGAATTACATCACGAAAAGAAGCTGCCTCGCTGGCCATGCACGACGTCGCCGTCGTCGCAGTCGTCAATCGAATCCCTCGAAAAGCACGCATGCTTTCCAACCCCCCCCAGTTCTCTTATACACATCTAGATGTGTATAAGAGACAGGGGGATACTGATCTTGGCGCTCGATGAAAACCAG